AGAGCAAAATTAGAAATTGCTTTATAAAACGAGTCCCTGTATTTTGCCCAAATATACACAGGACAAGACAGACTAAGAGATCAGCAGTAATTTATGCATCATATACCTATCAGGTACTGGCCAATTCCACTTTGTCATTGTGCTAAGTAAAATGTCATCTTCTCACAGAGAGTAAATCCTCTACCTTACCTTCTTCTTTAGAAATACATTGAATTTTTCAGTCTAGTTCTTTATACAGCTAAGATATAAAGCAGATGAAGATACACAGCATAAATGTGGTGGTTTTTTTGAACACTTGAGTAAGCTGACCTTTTTCAGAATTACATAATAATCACTTAGATGGTGGAACTACCGACAAGAAGTCAGGATCTTTGTATTTCAAGTAATGCCATAGCAAACAGAGTTGAAGGGAAATAATAGCAATGTGGGCAGCTAGAATGCTTGTCAGGTTCCTTCTATAAATCCACAAAGGTCTGACCAAAGGGATATCCCTGACCATATGATGACATGCTCAGCATATAAAGCTGTGAGAACAATAAGGAAGATGTTCAGAGTGGTGGTATTTGTCCTGCAAAGTCACCTGTGATGGAGACATGCTTTCCTGGGGAACACCTGCCTGCCTACCAAGTGTTGAATAAATTCTTTGTTTTGCTTTGCTTGCACAGTTTCTTGTTTACCTATTAAACTGCCTTTATCTCAGCCCATGAGTTCCCTCACTTTTACCTGCTGAATTCTCAGCCCTATCCCACCATGGGAGTGAGTGGCTGTGTGTGGCTCAGTCACCAGCTGAACCTAAAGCAACAACAACCAGTCTAAGATATTCTTTTGTCCTGGTAGTTTTATGTCCAGTTCAGGATGGAGGATAGCAATGAAGAAGGCTCGTGACATTTGTCTGCATTTGTCTGCAATTATGTCCTAGTCTGGTGAATCAAGAAGTTGCCTATAAGTCACAGTTTTTGCCTACTTACTAGCATAGCTTTTTCAATTACTCATTTCAATAGAATAAATGTATTTCTGGGACTAATACAACTTGGGCTTTGAAAAGGGGTAGGAAGGAATCAGAACTTTACTTATTCTGTATTTGCAGGTTATGAGGGATTAGTGGGCAGAGAAAGGCAAAGGGTGGAAGGAATCTTTCTCAGTCTGCCTACTGCTAATAAGGACAGGGAGAGGCACTAACTCATGGTGTAGTGTATATCAAAATCTAAGTTAATACCCCTCATGGAGCAAAAGGAAGTGTGAAGAGGGAATTATGCCTTATATGAATGGTCTTTTATTATAACTGTACCCTAGAAACACAATAAAGCAAAGACACACTTCATACACATGGTCCCCAAGTGCTTAACTTAACTGGCTACACAAACTGTGATGTAGATTATCTGGTCTTCGGAGACACAAATGTTATCTTTTTAATGTATGCAAATGCAATGCAATTGTAGATATTATGGCAGATTATTGGTAACTGCAGTTATAACTCATGGGTCCCATATTGCATCCACTGTAGTAATTGGCAAATTTCCCAATGATTTAAAAGAAACAGATTTGCTGACCAGACACACTTCTTTCTAGGGAAACAAAAACGTCTCAAGGTTCTATGGCTATATAAGACTGCACAAGACAATAAATGATCACCACAAATATCAGAAAACAGAAAATTATTATAATTTAATCAAATGTAATTATTCAGCCTGGAGTCAGTCTAGGTCACAGAGTTCATATCTACACCTCACTGGGCACCATTCTGCCGAGAAACTGTTTTGATATATTTTGGCTGTCATAACTGTTCAGCATTTGATATTAATACCCAAAACCTGTGAAAATACTCCTCAGGACTTTGA